CTAGCATTTATTTACTTTCTCCATTTGAATTCCAAAAATTACTAATTTTGAATATTAATATATAAGTAACATCAAACTTGAATTGATTTATAACTGCGTTTGTTTTTAATGACTAATGTTTACGTAAGCAAATATATACTAAAATTTTTTATTATAAATTATTTTCAGTTGGAAATGTTATTAAAAGTAAGTAAATTACATAAAATTAGGATTTTCTAAAAGTAAATATGAGGATTTTATCTTTTGTCAGTATATCTGCTTTGAATGAATTATTTTATACATTTGTTTAAATTTAATCTTGATATCACTAATATTAAATCTTGGAAGCAACTTCTTTTTTCTAGCATTGCTAACACCATGAATATTATTTTAAATACATTTTCAAAGGCATGGTTTCTAAGAATTAAGTCAAACATGCATAAATGTGTGGTTAGCATTTAATTCAGCATATTTTTTAAAGCTAAACATGTGTTTCAAATTTTAATGCTGTGCAGAAATTTTTGAATTTAATTTATAAATGCTTACTTTCCCTTAATAAACATTACATTTCATAAATTGAAGAATGAAACATAAATTTATGTAAGTAAAATACTACATTTAACCTCCTCCGTACTTTTTTTAATAAATGTTTTTGAGAGGATATGAAACATGGATGAGTCTTATCTTTTTCTAAATATTATATTCATTTTCTTTTACTGTATTTAACAAATAATATGCTTTAATTTACAAATCTTGCATTTGCACTTAAGTTATGACATATTACATACATTCCGTTGTTTCAAATATCAAGCAATTCAGAGATTATTTTTATTTATTTAAAAAAAAACTTTTTAAAATTAGCTATATACTAACAGAGACGTTAGGAAGCCATAGAATATTAGGTTAAGTTAAATGCAAATAATTTTCTAAAAGTTTAATAAAATGTGGAAATATTTTTTTTCCTTAGACAGATATTTATTTAGTTTTCTACATGCATTATTTTTATACTAGAGCAGACTTACTTGTTATACAAATATCTCAAATTTTCGTGTAACAACAAATTTAATATGAATTACAAATAATCTCTAAATGCATATTTGTTTATAGAAATTAAATCTTAATTCTTTTTAGATAGACAGCTGAGTGTCTCAACCTTCATTTATTTTTCTATTTAGTTGATACCGGTATATTTTTTTTTATAAATTATGCATTCGAAATGCACGAGTACTCAAATATATTTATAAATAAATAAATATCCAAACTTCAAAAATTTATGTTTCACTAATTCATTAGAATCAAATCAAAAAGTACATTTATGAAAACGAATTAAATCACAAACACACTTATTTTTTATTCAAAAATAGGAATTATTGTATAAAGAGAATATACTTCATATCACATTTTTAAGCATGTATATTGGAGTATAAAACATATCAAAATAATATTCAACAAAAATTGAGTCAACAAATTGCCAAATTTTATGAAAAATATATATATCTAGCTTCGTTACAAAAAATTAAATAAAAGAGAGTATGTGTTATATTTAATGAGAAATTGCATACATAAATTTAAAATAATCTGATTTGCAATTACGAATTTTTGTTAATAACGTCTTATATGAATGACTTTATTTTATATGAAATATGTACGGTTCAACATGAAATATGAAAAAAAAGAGAAGAAAAAACAATTAATTATATTAACAAGAATTAAAAAAAAGAACAACGAGGAGTAAATCTTTTTGATTTTAAGATTTTATAAGGTCATTGAAGTAATGAATCTTATTTTAGTACATGTATACGTCAAGCTTTACATTATTATTTATCTTTCCGCAACTGTGTCCGTAAAACCTATCTTTATTGTTTTTACATGCGCTGATTTATAGATTTCCAAGATCAAAGTTTCTAAGAAATTTAAACAGTTGAATACGAAAGTTTCCTTGAGTCGCAGGTTCTATTTTTATTGAGTAAATACTGATTACAGTTATATAGGCTGTAAAATCTATGTTATATAATTTATCAAATAAACTCAAAGTAGTATTGCAGTTGAAAATAAAAAGATTTGTACCTTGCATTGAATTTTCAAAAATAACAGAAACTGCATTCCAGAAAAAACCTTTTCTAGAGAGTCTTCTTTAGTTAACTTGAAAAAACTTCAGGAAAAGCTAAGATCCATTGCAAGTTATAGAAGGGTCAAACTATATCATTTAAAGGCAGATTTCAAACCAAATTGAACATTACTGATTGAATGTTGAAAAAAAGTAAACATACATTTATTAGACTCATTCAATGTCAAGATTTTAAACCTGAGATAATGTTAAAATATTTCGAAGGCTTCTATATAGTAATCAATATACGTACTTTTGCCCATAATATATAAATCTTCTCTTGGTCTAATTGAATGATCTTTAAGAGCTTTAGATATAGTCCTTAGAACTTTAGTCCTTAAAAAGTCCTTAGCACTTTAGTCCTTAGAAAGTCCTTTACACTTTAGTCCTTAGAAAATGCCTGAGAAATATGAAGTTGTACGGATTCAAAGTCAGTACATAGGAGTTAAATACTGAGAATGTTAGGCTAAGAAATGTGTAATTTATGTGCAATTTATTTAGATTGTAAAAAAAAAAAAATTGGAAAATACGAGAAAATTCCCGCGGCAGAGATTCCAGACAAAATCCGTAAAACTGAGCAGTAGTGACCATAAATATGTAATTTTAACGAAATTGAATTTCAGTTAAAGAATCGCTTTGAAAAAAACATGTCATAAATGTGGTAACGTTATCAGCATTAATCTGCCTGTGATTTCCCATACAAGCAGTCACCCATCGATCTTATGCATTGATCTGATCTGACGCTTGAAAAATTACGAAGATGTTAAGTGATATTTTGAACAACTAATTTTAAAATAAAGTTAAATTGATTTTTTGGTTTAAAAATACTTAGCTAGCTTTTTTTAATGGTGCTAAGGAAATAAATTATCCCCAAGATAACGATTATTTTAACCTCTGTAATGGCGTTGTGTTAGTGACGTAACGGATCTTTTTTTATTAAGGTTATTTTTTTAACAATACTTTTTCGAGCACTTAAATCTGATTTTAAATAGTTATGTTTGGTTATGATTAAAATTCGTCATCTTAGATTGAACATGTTTTGCGAATGCTACTTCATGGTTCCATAGTATGGCTAAAACATGTTTTGTAAGCGGCTTTCTGACATTTTAATACCAATTTTCAAAAACTTACTAATATAATGATCCCGACATTCCTCTTTTTTGTTCAACAATTACAACTAAACATTTAATTTTAAAAACCTAAACAAAACACTAGAGAATTATAGCAAAAATCGCCCTGAAAGAGCAAAATAATTATTCTTCCCAATCCCAGGAAATATAATTGTGTTTTGCCGACCAAGTGGCCGAGCGGTTAGCGCGCCTGACTGCGAAGCCATTGGCTGCGTGTTCTAGGCATGGGTGTTTCTCTCTCTCTTAGCTGTCCTCTGTTGTGTGTGTGATGTCTGAATGTGACCTACCCTATAAACGGGGTTTGTGGCAGTGTGGCGTGGGCAACGTTGCTCGCCTCCGTGACTTTGGTTCACAGGTGCCCACTGAGTAACGCTTAATGAGTAACACTTCCGGCATCTTCATAGGCAAAGATTCAAATTCAGTGCATGCCATTGGGAAAAAAATAAATAATTGTGTTTTCAAAACCATTTTAAATATTTAATAAAAGTTTCGTTCAACATTTTTTTAATTTATTTTGCCATCATTTTTACAAATAGTTCAGTTGCAATCCAGTTTCTGCAATTACTTTTTTGACGTGTGATTAATGATGGTTTTTTAAGAGGGATTTCAGAATACTTTTGTTACTTTTTCCTTTTGTAAAATTTAATTTTAATGCTAAAAATAAAAATAAAAAAATAAAAACGCTGATATTTATAAAAAGGATCTTTAATAATAAAGCGTTCTTTCATGACGTCACTGACAAGCTTTCATTTGAAATAATCGACTGTTGAAAAACGGCTTGGTTGTAGATTTGATTATCCTGCGTGCTTAAACGGACTCTGCCTGAAAAAACACTGTAATACGCTACAGAGATACACTAATAACTTAAATGTTCGAAACTTTATAGTTTAAGATAAAGAGCGAACTATGCTCGTAGATACGGTAAATCACAGATTTTATTTTTAAAATGTAACTAAATTAAAACGAATAAATTTTGAAAATCCACGTGGCTACGCTATTCTCCAGAATTATTAAAAAAGATCCCCAGAACAAACGTTAACATTGTGGGCCCAGTGACAAGTAGAATTGTCGTCTTGTAAAATAATAATATTGCACATAATTACATGCACTGTTTGAGGATTTATGTTCAAAATTAATGCATATGAAAATAACTATATCAATTCAATGATTAGCCCACTTTCAGGAGATGATTGAATGCTTTCCGAAAATATGGTCATACAGTCACGAATTCTATGCCAGCTTGAAAAATTCATTCTAGTAACTATCGTAATATTTTCTGAACAAAATAAAACACCAATGTTATGGTTTCGATGGCTGTCTCTTTATCTAGTACTTCACTTTTTTAAAGGAAAATAATATGTTTTTTGATGCCTTTAGATTACGAAATTCATATTTGATTTGTTTCAAATATGAATTTGACCATATTTGATTTCAAAGTTGATTTTAAATATCAGTTTCCTTCTAAATAAATGCTGAATTTACATACCCTCTGTTTATATTTTTAATTGTATATTTGTGCACCTTCTGTTTTTCTTTATGATGGTATATTTGTACACCTTCTGTTTATGTATATTATTTATTGCTTCTGTATAACCATTTTAAGTGAAAAAAAAGTTCTGCAACCTTTTAGAAAGTGACTCCTTTTAGATGGTTTTATTTTTCCAGTTATAAAATATAATACTATTTCGCTCTAAATTGAATTGTTCAAAAACATTTTTAACGATAGAGTACTTTAATTTTATTGCGTTATCATTTTGAATATTGCAGTATGCATACGTAACGACTTGAACCAATAAAATAAAAGGGACATCGATATTTATTTAAGCAAATTAGCTTACTATAAATATAAGTCGTTATCGAGGTTTCAAGACTTTCCACAGGCACTTCGCAAAAACTTCAAAAATGATTCCTACAATTTTAGCTGTGTTAACTATTCTCTGTTCTGGTATGCATAATTTTCAGAAAAGGAATAATAGCATGTTTATATGTATATTTTTTTTTTGCTTTACATCAAAATCCAATACTTTCTTCCATTTACAGATATGCTTATGTTTTCCTTTTTAATGTGCAAAATAATTGTCTAAAAATAAGCATTTATAAAAAAATACGTAAAAATCTTGGAAAATACATAATTAGAATTTTAGTTTTTATTTTATTTATTCTATAGTTCTATTTTATTTATACTAATAACTAGGTTATAATTCTGAAGCAAATACTGAAATTTTAATTTTTAATGTTTTAGTTGGTGTAAACTTGGGAGGTAAGTAGTATTTGATTCATAACCGTTCAAAATGCAATTTGCATTTTTTTTTTACATCTATAACAACTTACATGTACATTTAACGAAAAGAGAATACCTTAAAAAAAAAAACATGATTTTCGACCCTTTCACGGTGCATATTCTTTATTTATAGTAATAATAATTTAAGGTTCATATTGAAGCCACTATTTATAATTTTTTTTCTTTAATAATACTATTTATGTTAGTGTTATTTTTATTAATATGGTGAAATTACTGTGGGTGATGATATTTTCTTATTGTAAGGTCATAAAGTTGTCACTGTGAACAAATCCAAATAAAAAATAAAAAATAAGAAATCTGCAACAATTTAATTGAAACACAATTTTCTACGTAAATATTAATTTCCATTGTCGACATTTTGTAAAGATGTCTCTGCATTAAAAAATTGTAAGATCCACCGACATGCTGTTTTTGTTGTTAAACTTGTTACATTTAGTTTTGCTGCTCAAAATCTGCAAGTTTTAGAAGTATGAAAATTTTTATATTTGTAGAAAAATGATTTTAGAATCGATTAAATGAAAGCAAAAATGCCATTCAATAAATAGTTCGAGGATTATTACTATCCAGACCGCTACAACGGATGCAAGAATGAAACAACAGTGTTGAAATTTGAAATGCTGAGATTATAATATTTGCTCATGAACTTAACACAGAGTTTTTTAAAAATTCCAGTTTAATCGAAAATCTTTATAATTAAGTGCTTTTTTGTGAACATCATTACATTTTGCTTTGCTAATAAAATTGTTTACAGTTTGGAAACTTGAAATTTCGAATGTGTGTAGAAAAATGCAGAAGAAGTTTGATAGAATAAGAAAATATTAGAAATTCTATTATTAATTGGAGAATTATTACCAATGAAGAATTACAGGAGAATTACTTGTAGTATAAAATATGGGGTCAATTTACTGTCCGCTACAATGCAATTGTAGAGTTGTAATTTGACTTGCTAATTGAACACTTTTTAAATTTAATTTTTATGAATTTATTGTTTCAAAATTCTTATTTTTTCTAAATTTATTGCAATTTTAATTGGCTTTTTCCTATATTTCTCTTACTGTAAGAAGTGCCTTTTGGGACATTATAATCATTTTTTTGCCGTAACTTATGATATTGTTGAATATACACATAAGCTATAAATCTCATATTTTTTTGACTTTTTCAAAATTGTTTCTAAGTTTACTATATCAAAATATCATCCCTATCTGTTAAATGATTAAGGAAATACATAAAACAGTCAAAAGAGGTCCCTTAGATTCTCAAAAGAAAAACTATCATTTTTTTAGTTTTAAGGCGATTTTGGATTTTGCAAAATCACAAACATTAAGAAGATGAATTATGGAACAAAATTAAGGTTCAGTGTGATAAAAAAAACTGTCACGTGCAACAATTTTCGTAAAATTATATGACATCTTAGAATCAATTACCGAAGTAGCTTAATTGATTTTCTATTCAATTATTATTTCGTTATTGTGTCTGAAAGAAACCCTTTACATGCTGATTATAAACGGTTATATTTCTTATAATTCTGGACAAGAAAGTATTGTTGAATAACAGTTAATATCGTGTAAGTAATAATGAAAATTAATTGCATGGTGTTCAAGACACATATCTTCAATCACAAAATTTCAAGTGATAAAAAAATTTTTTTTTGTTGATGAGCTATTGCTGTCCTCAATGCTTGAATTGTATTTAATAAGTCCTTTGCCATCCCAATTGAGCATTGCGAATTCATTATTGTTTTATTAAGGAATTACAAATTAATTCGTTGAGCATAGAATTTCACCTAATTGATAAAATTCAGTCTTTAATATATACGAAACATGTCTTTTAATATTTCAAGACACAAAATAAAACGAATACTAACCATGAAAAATGATAGAAAACGAATTGTCGATCTTATATTGTCCTTTTCACGCCACGCGGATATACTTTATACATCTACTCTAATGCCTAAAGATGGGACTATAAATGGAATTTAATATTTTAAAACATATTTTGTGCTAACTTGAAATATTTATATTTTTGTCGCTAGTTTATTTTCGCATTACTTTCGCTCTGTCGAAGCAATAATTAGTTAGGCATTATAATGTAGCATTTTCATTTCAATAATGAAAAAAAGAATGAAAAAAATTAAGCACTAAAAAATTTTATATATTGTAATATTGCATTTTGATAAATATTCATCAATTAAAAAATCATTTATTTTGAAAAAAACAGAAATTTCTTACAAGGGTCAAATTGACCACAAATGACGATTCTGTTCTAGTGAAAAATAATTATTTTTCCATTGTTAAAGAAGATTTTATCTCATTTGTGACTATAATTTTATAAGATCGTGCTGGACTTGATGAAGAATAGTGAATAGATAGAAAAAATAAGACAGAGATTTCATTTCAGTTCATTTTATAACCGGTATTGAACAATTGACAAAATTCTGCGTAGCCTTAGAATTTTGAATCTAAACCGGAAGACAAGGGAATTTCGGGATCAAGTATTAAGACAAACTTGTCTTCGTGGATGACTTTTTTGATTGAACTCACACGCCTTTATTTTACATGAAAACAACCAAAACCTCACACGGTTAGTCCGATGACAAAGGAATTCTAACCCATGATTCCTCTGCCACTGGTGATATCTTATGTCAGCACTGTGGTTGGTGCGAGTAGAGAGAATATTTTGTATCAACCAACCATTGAGACTCGAACCTTTATCACCTCACTGGGAGGCGAATGCTCTATCTTTTGACCATAACTTTTATATCAAACTTTTTAAAAATATAAAAACGGAAAATTAGATAAAAACTGGTTCCAATGCGAGCCGATATGGGATTTAAGGTTATCGTTTTAAATTAACTAAAATTAATTCTTATTTATTACTTCTTAATGTGTTACACATTCGGTACTCCAATTTTTAAATATATTTTTAGTACGGTTGATTATTTTTTAATCTAGCTATACCTTCATGTTGTTACGATTAAAATATTAACAAAATATATTTACATAAAATTATAATAATTATCTGAAAAATTTATCCTTTTTCAAAAAAAAAAATTGATAAGATCTAGGGTAACAGGTGGCAATCTAATCGCAAGTTTTCAATAACATAGATCTGAACCGTTCTTCACTATTAATCTTTAATGATTAAATGAGAAACAAACACGAAGTTTGGGATTATTTAGCGAAACGAGCAAGATCTGATTCTCTTAATTTACTGACTAAGCTTTGCCATTACGCAGTCCATTTTAGCTTTATATTCATGTTTCTTAAAAGTAACCATATCTAAATTACGTATACCTTCATAACTATATCCTAATTGCGTATAGTAAGCTGATTTAGCGCATAGTAAAATAAATAGATTTTCTTCACGAGGATTTTGAAGTGCTTAACTTTAAACCTAAAGTGCCCGACTTTAAAGTACTTATTGTACTTCAACAATGTTTATCGTAATACTAAAAAGTACATTTGCTACCACATTCTTCGAAATACAGCTATTGTGAAGAAAAAAATTATTAATTAAAAAATTGAGAATTGAAATGGTTTCATGATAGATCTCACGTTACAATTTAAAGTCAATTAATTGTTTCTGTACGACAAAATATTTTTAAAATATCTTTGATAGCGTCATACTTTTTGTATGATAGAATTCTTTACTCATTTTTCCCTTTTTCTTCATTCATTTTTTCTTCACTCCTTTTTACCTCATTCATTTATTTTTTCCTTAATTTATTCAATCATTTAAAATGATAGAATAAATTTAAAAAAACATTTTAAACTTATTTCTAATAATTTTAGCAAATGCCTACAGGAGTATGCTTGATTTAAAGATTACATTAACAGACTTCAAATATTAATTACTATTATAAGTTTATTATAAACGAGCTATTATGAAAATATTTTTAATGAATTCTACACTATTTTTTTTGTAATATAGAGTTCTTCATTTTAAATTAAAACAGTTTAACACATTTTTTTCTAGATGAAACTCAACAGCAAGTACACCGTACGTATACATAGGATTAGAGGATTATATTTATATCTATCTATCTATCTATCTATCTATCTATCTATCTATATATCTATCTATCTANACATTTTGTAGCCCAAAAATAAATCATATATATATATATATATATATATATATAATGATGAAAATGTTTTACTGTAGATCACAAAGTCAGTAAGTATTATGTATATTTTCATCATTTAATACTTTATTTCGCTAGAAAAAGTCTAATTATTTCATAATGAATTTGAACCAGATCGTCTTTAAACAAGCGTAAATTTGATATGCAAGCTCAAAAAGTTTTATATTTTCACTTTTAATACAATTAAATATTAAAAAGTATACCATAAATAATTTTAATTTCATTTTGAATGTAATGGGATTCTCTTGATATTATAATATGGGCGTCGTTATAGTACATAATAATTATAGAATTTTCAGAAACACAACAAACCAACTGAAATTCAAAATTCCGATTTAATTAGAAAAAATACTATAAAAAGATCTTTCTTTTCAAAATTTCATTTCAATTGATATATTTGCTCTTGATGCATATTATATACGTAAACTGATAAAAATAAGTTATTTCATTTGAACTTTTTAGGGGTATAGAGTATTTAACCATTAAAAGTTTCGTATTTTTGAAAGAATATAAATATCATGTTCTGTTTTATGATCATGAACTTGACATGAAGTATTAGAGGTTATTTTAAAAGCCTCCAAAGTTGCTGGAAATATATTGAAACCCTCTCACAAAAAACGGAAAATGACATAAGGACTAAAGTCTTCCGTTCAAAGTCATCTATACAAAGTATTGTCTTTAAATCAATTTTTCCAATTCAATTTTTTTTTCATCCCGAGTGCAAAATTACTCTGGTCTTGTAATAAATCTACGAAGCTAAGAATTGGTATAGAATGCTGCTTTAATTCATGCCCGTCATCTAAGTATTGATAAAAATTCGTTGCATTAAAGTTAGTTTTTATAGTAAAAATATTTTTTTTTATTAATATCAAAGAAACTATGTTTCTTTTTTCTTAAAATTAAGAATATTTTGTTTTATATTTCACTCCTTAGTGGTATGGCATTAAAAGTTTCTGAAGTCAATAATATGATTTTTATTACTTTATGTATCACCCCCAATACCATAGTACATTTTTCCTTGAACTAAATTATAAAAAAAATCCAACGAAAAAAATTTTAATAAAAGTTAAGATTTCTTAGTAAAAGATGACTTTACACTTTTTCTGGGCTTATGTCAAACTCTTGTGAAAAAATTAAGATCTCTATGTTAAATTTTAGATAAATTATCGAAGATTGTAAAAACATGTGTTTTGATGTCTTTTTTGCCGAAATCAAGACCCCTTACTGAAGAATTCCTTTTATTTTTACTTACTTTGACGCTACATATTATTTTAATTCATTTTATAATAGTCATTGAACAGCCGAAAAAGTTTTATGGGTTTACGACTACTAATGTTCAACTCCGTAGCTTTATAATTTTGAACCCAATCCAGAAGACAAGGGAACTCCTGAATCAAGTATTGGGAGACATTTGCCTTCTTGGAGGACTTTTTGAGGGGGCTAATCCTCATTTGCGTTACATGGAGAGGAAGACAACGAGAATCTTCCACGGTTAGCCTGACGGCAAGGGGATTCTAACCCATGATCCGTCTACCACTGAGGATATTTCACGTCAGCACTGTGGTCGGTGCAAGCCGGATGCGGAATTCGTATCGACCAACCATCGCCGGGATCGAACTCCGGTTCACCTCATTGGAAGGCGAACGCTCTATCAGCTGAGCCATCGCGGCTCAATACTACATATTAGCAAAATTCATGATTAATCATATTTTCGTTTTGCCGATTACACAAGACCAAATAATCCTCAAATTCACAGTAATTTTTTTAATTGCCAAGTTTTATTTCTTTGCTATTTTCACTATTTCTATGCTATTGGCCATATCGAATTAAGAGCTTGTCTTTATTGAAGTTGCAAAATCAGTAACATAATCAATTAATAAATTAAGCTAAACACTATTTTTTTTTCTCTTTTTCAAAAAAAATAATAATTTGTAAACAACGATTTTTGTTTATATTTCCATCCTATGTACATTTATAAAATTATTAATTCTTTTTATTTTCCAACAAATAGCTGGTCAACCAAGTACGTAATTTTTCTTCCCTCTTTATAAAGAACGCATGCTTCATTAAATATATTCATAAATATTTTATCATTCCATTTCTAGCTCACGTAACTCATGTTCACCGTAAGTAATAATTATATATAAGCTATTTTAATACATTTTAGCAGTTCATGATTTGTTTGAATTTTTACTATGTTCAAATTTCTTTATCATTCTGCAAAAATAATATTTTTTTTCATTATATAGCTACGAATGGAAGCTATGATCAGAATTTTTAATTTATACCTGAATCAGATCATGCGTTTGCATGCAATAGTCAATGTAGCTCTAACTAGCTACTGTCTTGCAATAAAATGCAATAAAAGAGTCTCATTGCTTATTTTGATTAAAAATTTAGACGTTATTTCATTAAAAAAACAATTGGTTTATTTTATCATTGAAATGGAATGAAACTCGTCTCCTTGTCAGTACCATGATTTATGCTAAGTTGTAATAGGGAGAGTTGAGTTCCACCCAATAAAAAAGGAATTTTTAAAAATTGAGAAAAAACGCATCAAACTAGCTCTTAAATACATATAAACGAATTCAAAAATTCCATGTATTCTAAATTTAAAAGAATGTTCTTCTTTTTGCGCAAAATACATAGCTCAAAAGTGATGTGGAGAGTAAAATGTGCGAAAAAGATGCTCGTTGATAGCCGGCAGGATTCAATAAAAGGACTTTCGGTATTGTAGTTGGATGCTCCAAACGTAACACTTGTACACGTAACGTAAGTCCAGGGAGAGTTAGGAAGCTCTATATAGTGACCGTCACAATGGCATATCGTAAAAAAAACATTCCATTCAGTTAAGATAACGCTAGATAAGAAAAAAAGAGAAATTAAAATAACTGGTCTCCTGGCAAAGCTATTGGGTCCATATTTCCCAAATTGCAATCTTTTGATCTATTGAAATTGGAAATTAGTATCTCATGATTTATCATTGCTACAGTCAGTTTAGAAAGCTTCATAACTTTACCTGGACTGGGACTTACCACTATGGTGGTTAGAGTATCTTACTACGAACTCGAATGTTTTGGGTTAGAATCCTGCCAGCTGCAAACGAAGATTTCATTCGGACGTTTCTCCCCCCCCCCATCACTTTTGAGACTATGCATTTTGTTCAAAAATGAGAATATGTTGTTTCAATTTTTAATACATGAGGCTTTTAAATTTTACTATTAATTGTTTCGGAGATATTTTGGCCTATTTTTACACAAATTTACAGAAAAACCTTTTTATAAAGCATTAGTTGAATTATGCTGATATTTCCCCATTATTTTTTTACATAAATTCATTTTTCTTATATTTTTTACGCAAACGCACCATTAAGTTTTTTCGTAGTTAATATTTGCATGTAATAAGTTGCAGTTAAATAATTAGTAGTGACAGTGAAGTATAAATAGGCAATGCTATGAAAATTGTATAGAGCTGCGACGCATTTGTGCGCACGTGCGAATGAACATTATGTAACTGCAATTGTAGGTGTGTGTGTTGACAATAAATGGGTGGTAATTTCATGTAATGCTTATCTTCGTTGGTTACACGTTTGTTAGAAGTTATTTAACCTATGCAATTTAAGCAATAGATAGTTTTTCACCCATCAATTGTTTAATCTCGGCATAATCTTCAAACAGTCACTATTTAAAGCTTTAGTCCTCCAACGCTTTTGGAAATTGAAAGGTCCTTGCGATGACAGCCTACTATTTATAAGTGCTGGAAGATGTCAAAAATAATAGTTTTATTCCCACTGCAAATTGAATCTACTAATTAATAACATAGTATTAGCTACATATAAAATCATCACAGCTTCATTACTTAGACATAAGCTAGGTGCAGCTATACACAATTTCTATTGCATTAGCTATACCAAATTAAAATGTATTTCAGTGAATATCTTGGTACTGAAATTAATTAATGTGGTTTTTGATTTTTTGTTTAAGGTTACACACATCGTGAGTATTCAATATTGTAAATATGTATCATTGCCTTGCTTGAAGGACTTTTAGTCGTGCAATTAACATTAAAACAATGATAATAAGAATAATGCATTCCTGAATATGTCTTTATAAAAAAAAAATAATAACGGAGAAAATGAACCGTTGCATTTTCTATGCAGGTTTTATCAAATTTATTTCTACAGTGTTATTGTGATTTTAAAATTCAAGTTTGAGTAATTTTAACATTATTAAATAAACAAAGTTATATTTTTAGCATGTAAAAACCTTTCAATAAATTTTTCTGCATTTCCTTTCATAAGTGACTACCTATTTTTTTCGATAATACAACATAGACCTTAATCCTCGTAATTAATTTAATATTAATTAATTTTTAATTTTGGTTTTTGTTGCTTTTGTTGTCTGCTAAAGTTTAATGATAAGTAGATAAATAGCTAAGAAACTGCATTTTTGTATATATATATATATATATATATTAAACTATAAGGTATTCTCATTATTCCAGACTTCATTCAAGTCAATCCTCATACGCAGTGGTTTAAGAGAGAGTGGCTTAAGATTAACTGGAAAATTGCTAGATCTTTTGGCTCTCAACAACCATAAAATAATTAACGCGTAAAACTGTGAGAAAAAAATACTAGTAAAAATACAGTACTTGCCCTGTGGGGGGGGGACAAAAAATAAAAAAAGGAATGAAAGGTTGCTAACAAGCAAGTGATAACAATTTAAAAAAGAAAAAGAAAAATTAATGGCCGGGTGAAACGATATAGTGGTACATTTTTGGAGTTGTGTTGCAAATTTTACAACCCAGAAGGAATATTAATTTTTAAAGTCCCAGAAAAAAAACCAATATATTCTACAAAAAAGACATACCTCCTCTCCATAGAAGCTATCCGTACCTATGAAGAAAACAACAACAAAAACCAGTCAAAATGAAGTAGTCCAGTTCTTTTTACTAAATCTTTGTTGTTTATTGGAGATTACTAGGCAAACATCTTAAAATTATCACAGTGAGGCACGACATCTTAAAAATATCATCAATGGCACAACATCTTAAAAAATATCATCAATGGCACAACATCTTAAAAAATATCATCAATGGCACAACATCTTAAAAAATATCATCAATGGCACAACATCTTAAAAAATATCATCAATGGCACAACATCTTAAAAATTTCATCAATGGCACAACATCTTAAAAAATATCATCAATGGCACAACATCTTAAAAATGTGGGTACTATTGGTAGCTGGAGCAGGAGACCGAACTATCCCAAGCTAGTGCGTCATAAAGAAGAGTATTCAATCAAAAAGAATTCTTGATAAAAGGATTGAATCATAAAATTTTTCAAAAAGGGAACAGCTGCCGATATTTTTGAGATTTTCTTTGAAAAATTAAAACAGCATTACAATAAAGCTAGAAATGGCTGTGAAGGAGTCCATCAATGGCGGTGTATACTGCGGCGCCATGTAAGGTCCGAAACCCTTTCCTCAAAAGAGGAGGGAAGTAAAAAAAAACTCCGCGAGGGAGTAAGTATATCGTTGGGGGGATGGAAGATTCGAATGCCACGAGCGTTTTTCGCGCTCTGGCTTTTATAGCAAAAAGGAAAAAAAACCGAGTTGAGTACTCAAGGTACTGAAAGTATGAATTAAAGAAGTAAAATTTTAAGTTGAGATGTATTATCAATATTATTTTTAAGTGTTATTCTCACCTTCTGATTGACGTTGCAAAGCTAAGTTTCAGTCGACTTCAAATTCTCGTGCTACATCAAACGACGCCGACAGCTTTTTCCAAGAAAAGGAGTGTCTGAGGAATGTGCAAGGAACTTCCTGGGGAAAATGTCCTCATTGCGCTAACGCGTTAAGGGGCGAGAAGAAAAAGATGAAGAAATAAAAATTGTTTCATAAAATTATAAATTAAGCCGAAAAAATAAGTATTTTGATTAACAAAACAGGATATTTCAAAATTAGGCTGTGACTTAATTTCACAGTACTGTATGGTAATAACATTTCTAGTAAAAAAAGTTTCATAACTCTTAAAATAGAAATGAAAATATACGGTATTTGAAACATTCATTTTGTAATTTTTCCGTTCAACAGTTTACTGGAATCTCTAAGCATCTCTTTAAGATATCTTGATACAAATACCAAATTTTACCAAATTATACAACATTTATTGCATATAATAAAACTGTATTTTACAGTAAATTTTGCAAAAATCATTATCAAAGTACTTCGATAAAAAATCACCAAGATTTTTGGTGTTCCCATAGACACAGAAGCACGGTAAAGTTTGCTATTTTCTGGTATTTTTGACCATATTGTTTTCTCAGTGAAAAATCGCAAATTATCATAAGTAAAATAATTATTTTAAACATTCAATAGTGAAATTACATCTTTGCTTTTCATTTGTTAGTAAGTGACCGGTTAGAATCCAAAACTTTCACGATGCCAATAATATGAGGTGTGCTCTAGAGTTATTTCGATTCATATAGTTGTACATTATTGCTATTTAAATAGATAACGTACTTGAATGGATTTTAATTAAGTATTGTATTAACCATGTTTATATTCTTAGCACTTAGCTCCATAAATTCTATTTCGTAATCTTACACATCTCAATCATATATTATTTGCATATAATAATTCCCGTAACGCGGATAAATTAAAATTTGTTATTTAGATCATGTTGTCATACAAATAACCTTGGAAAATCTTGAAAGAATATTTATTTTTGTGCGCCACTTTTTTAAAACAATAAAAAGTACAAAATGCTTACATTCTTAAATAAGAGAAGCATTCTAATAATTTAAGATTGGAGTTCTTTCTTAGTATATTTTTATATAGTTTTAAAAATTATGTAATTATATAACTATTTACCTTATCATATTTTCAAATATTTTTCAGAACAAGCTGGACAAGGTGAGGATTCCAAAATGTAGCATCTTTACTAAAACAATGGAATTTTTCAAAAGTTTTTAAATAAAGCTTATAGATATAGAGTATAAATATAAATTGTATGAAAGCAAGGAACACATTTTAAGTATTCCTGTTAGAATGAATTTCGAGAAAGATAAATAGAGAAGTAGAAATGAATTTCGCAAAATATATAACATTTTATTACATAAGTTTTAATAACATTTTTCAAAAAGTTAATTAAACTCCATTTTATGTTTGAAAACTAAAAACATAAAACAATTTTGTGATTAACTTTATTAAACTTCACTTAAATATTAAAAGATAAAGTATTCAAAAGAGATGATTATTTAAACTTTAAGGAGTAGTTTCAAACTAAATTTAAGTTTAAACAGCGCTTTTTAAGGAATTTGACTCGCATTAAAGTTCTTTAAAAACTCATATATAAACCCGTCCAAAAACTCAAAAATCCTTCTAAATTTCTTAACGAGCTATATGTTCATACGGATAAGTAATTAAGGGCATATGATTTTTATGCAATACTGAAAGCTCTGTAATAATTCAGAAAAATAATTATTAGAAATGCATTCATTGCTTAGACACGCTTAAAGAAAAATGTACGCGTTATTAAGCAAACTTCCTGCCTTGGAAACCCTTCTGTTAAAATGATTCAGAAATTGAAATTTTTCTTTTCATTCCAATATGTTTTCATTATTTTAAACATATTAAATATATAGATTATAATTGTGTAGCAACAGGCCTCGTGATCGAAAATTATAGATATAAACGTTCACTTAATTTTTGTCATGTGCATAAAATTTTATTGCAATAATAAAACGTTTCGCTATTTTCAGGCAATGGAGGACAAACACTTCAAGGTGAGTTACTTGAAAATTGAAATTTAAACCAAATCCCTTTAAATATTTTGACACCCTTCTTAAAATAAATTTCTGTAAATCATTCAATATAATATTATTTATTTTTAGGAGGCGGAGGTGAAGGAACACAAGGTGAATAACTTTGAAAATATAATTTTCGATTTCGAAAACTTAGTATCATTTAAATATTTGAATTGCATTTACTTAATAAATGTGTTGAAAATAATTAAATGTAATAAAAAAAAATTAAATAAAAAGTAGTAAGTTTTATAGTAAAAAATGATTCCTGATGTATAGCAGTTCAGAAAATGTAAATAACGAAGCATTCTTTGGTTAAATTTTTCTTGAAGTGGATTTCTGACGACGTAATTTATGCACAAAATTGTTTTTTCCTGCTTTATTACCGAGTTAATATATTTCCAAAATATACACTATAAAACATTCCGGATTAAATTACTATAAAAAATGCAGCACTCAGGATGATGGTACTCTTTACTGTAAAACCTAACTTTACCGAAATCTGTTACGGAACAAAAAATCTGGTATACTGTATACGGTGTAATATATAACGGGAAAAATGGATTTTATGAATGATGCACTTTCAGAGCCAGTACTAAGTATAGTAATTTAATCCGAAATTTTTATTGTGCTGTTACATAAAGTTATTAATTTCTAGTCATGACGCAATCCTTATTTAAAATATAACGAAAAGGTGCTTTTATTGATAATTTGCATGCTCATAAAAATAACAGAGAATAATAATTTAGACAAGAGATGAATCAACTTTGAAAGTTGATACATCTTTGTTAAATAGTTATATAGTGCTCGCACTGTATTTCCGAATCAAATTGTGGTAAAAAGTACTGGCATCCTGAGTGCAGCCTAACTGCAGACCATTTTTACCATAAATTTTTATACTGCAGTTTATACAGCATTATATATTTAATTACAATGATTCATTAATCTTTTTGCAAATATTACTCTACGAATTATAACATGGCTTGAATGATGCAAGTATTACAAATACATTTTATACGAATTATGATATACCAGATAATTCTTTTCTTCAAATTGTACCTCTAAATGGATTTAAGATGAAATGAAGTGTAGTGTCATCCTGATTGCTGGCACTTTTTACAGTAATTTGATCCAAAGATATTTTACAGTGCGATGTGATAGGTCTAAATATTTGGCAGCATTACTTGACTGACGCAGAAAGAATGATGGTTTTTGTATTTTGAAAAATTAATAATTTAAATAAAAAAGAAAATTTAATTTTAAGATTTCACTTTAAGAAAATTTATGTACAACTCATAAGACTTTTATCTACACTTCCATTCATTTTCCAGGCACACCTCAACAGCACATGCGTGGTAAGTATAGATATTTTTTAAAAAAATTTATTTACATTTGAATTGTGTACAAGCAATATATACATAATATTCTTTGAACAGTTTTTTTTAAATTTTATACATCCTCTCCCTGAAGGTTTCAACCTTTGTCATATTATTTAATATTATCAAATTATCTATAATCAGGAAAATCTTTTTAGGTAAAAGTATAAATTTAGAAAATATGAAGAAAATCGCAAAAAGTAATTAATGTGGCTTTTGAGAAAAAATTGCATTAAAGATTTTTCGTAAGAAATGTAATATTTTTGTTGCATTGCTTTTTAAATTTGTTGAGTTTATAAATAAAACGGAAAAGTATTCTAAAGAAGTAAAAAAAAAGGAAAAGTAGAAAAACAGGAAAGTATTATTTTCCTTTAAAATAGATATAAGAAAATTTTTAAATGTAAGAAAAAATTGAAAATAAGAGCTTTTAATTTTAATATGAAATACTTTTTAGATGATCCGCTATAAATGTCCTCTTATAAAATCATGTGTTTTATTTGTTTGCATATATATTCAAGGAAAATTTATTTGCAGTTCACAGAGTCAGTAAGTATTTTTTGTAACATTGTTGTACTTCAGTTTATCAATATCCGTACAAGGAAAAGAAACATAATTTTGGTAATAAAACAAACTATATGGTTTTTTAAACCATTAATTTGCTGATTGTTTGAAACAAATAGTAACGGTTACAAGAAATTCTGATTTTGAAGTTTATAGTTCTTATTACGAAGCATTTAGTAAAAAATACTAAATTCTAAAGTTTATTTATCCAAAAAAATGGTTCTCATGCAATCTTTAAGAACTCATGAAAAAATTACCAAATTTTGTCACATTTACTACATTTTCCCCCATAATATAACATTACATTTAATAGTTATTTTAACGAAAATTAGATCCAAGGCTCTTTAGTAAAAATTACCGAGCTTTTTGGTGTTCCTATATCGTCAGAAACATTGTAAATCTATCTACATTTTAATAGTTTTGACCATATTTTTTCTTGATGTATACTTGATTTTAGATTTATTTATGCAATAATATTTATTTTTTGTTGCCAAAGTAATACCAAATTAGTCAATTTATTCTGCTTTTCTTAATATAATGTGATTAAATTAAAGACTTTAATTCAATTATTCCTAAGTATAAAATAGCACTCATACAATATTCAGATGTTGGCATAGACATAAAGGAGCCATGATTTCGAGTCTAAAACATGAAAACATGATATAGCGTGGTCAATAGTGGACCAAATATCTATCAAATTATTCCTACCCTTATCAACCAAAAATAAATTAATAATTTTAAAGTTAATATTGTTGGCATTCTAACAGCTTTTACATTTTTTTAAATATTTATTAGAATGAAAGATTTATAGATGGTGAAATGTTTCATATAAACTTTTATGATGCGTTGTGATAAACATATGAACATTTTCTTATAATCTTTTTTTTTTAATTCTATATTAGCCTTATCAAATTAGACTTGAAAATGTTTTTTTATAGACTCAGTTGAATGTATATGGATAGCTCTTTATGCGTGCTTTTATTTTTAATTTTCTGGAGATTTTTGATTTTAGTTAGTACTGCAAAATACCCCAATGATCTTATCACGTGCAAAACATCAACAATTCATCATCAACCGAGAGACTAATGTTTGAACTATCGAATAAGAATAGCAGTTATTGACCCTCTTTTAGAGAAAAAACAGTGTTAAAAATTTAATTAAGCTTAATTTTGAATTTTGATCACTTGTTTTTAAGAATTTATATAGAGGAGCAGTTCACGTAGCTTCTATTGAATGTTACAAATTAAACTTAATGGCACGACAGCCCAAGGAGGGCCAAGGCCCGTCATGTCCTTCTTTTTTGGGGGGTAGTCAGTATGGAATACAATTAAGCTATTTTTTATAAGCATATATTTTTTTTATTCTTCTTGTATTGTATCATTAACTGATTTCTGACATGTGTGTTCATACTGTCCAAATATGTCATACGTATATAAGGACTTTTGGTCATTATATTCTTTTGTGGTATTTTTAGTAGTAAGTAGGCCTCAGAGAACTAAAATTACGCCATTAGTTCATGAGTACAGATTAGAATCTTTTTGACGGTTAGAAGATACGTACACTGTTCCCTGCAAGAGTCGATTACAGTACTTAAACAAATCCTGTATTAATAAATTATAAAATTCTTACTTTGTGGTTGGATCGACTATGGGTTTGTTTTTTGGTCTTTTTATTTTTTTAAAGGACAAATTTCCTTCAAAGAAACGTGTTTAATTTGATACTTTCTTAGAAGTTTTAGTGTGTTTTGGATTTAGTTGAAAATTGACTAGTCGAAATAAAATAAAAAAGTCAGCTTATATTTATTTATTATTTTTATTTTTAAAATTTTGCATTTTATTCTCTTAATAGCTGGTCAACAAGGTACGAATTTCACCTAAGTAGTCTCTTACATTTATTTAAAAATAGTTATTTTCTACAAATTTAGTCTTACCATTTTTTATTTATTTTTCAGTAACTCGTGTTCATAGTAAGTAGAATAATTCTTTATAAAATATTACTAATGCAGTGAATGAAACATTGCATAGTTTATAAAATAAGTCTAATAAATGCAATCGGTTTTAAATATTTCTAATAAAATTTAGTCAGTGTTATGCGGGCAAAGTGATACAATATCATTAAAACATTTTGAATAGCTTTACATCCTTTGTACAAATCTTATAATTTAAGGATAATATTATCTTAGTTAGATCAAATTTCATATTTTAAACCATTCCCGCAATATAATATACATTGTTTGAGATTTTTATATTTACAATAGAAGTTTATTTAATAGTCATTTTACCATATCCGACCAAAATAGTCAAATGACCATAAAAAGATAATATAGAAAAGACATATTAAATATGAGAAACATCATTCAGTGACTGTGTTCTAGCTATACGGTAAAACAAATAGAATTTTCACCGCACCAATTTGGTGTGCCTTATAAAGCCACTTAGTTCCTTGCAACTGTATACATACTATAGCAGAGAGGAGCTGAAGTCTATGCCTCATGACCAGCTGAACTGGGGTTCGACTTCCAAAGTTGACACCATAATATTTCTTCCAGTTCTTTTACAAGTGAAGTGTTTCAATTATGATGAACTCCCTAATTCATGAACCTGGACTTTAGAATACGACACTCTCATTCCCACATAGATGACAGCAACACAGAGATGCTTAACACAAAAAATGAATAGAATTTTCCATATCTTATCACAAGGTAAAGCACCAGAGACGGCACCAAGAGTAACTAACTAAGCCACATTTAACAAAACACAAATTCACCCCAACCTAACTCCAATTTCCATTACCTAACGAAACGCCTAAAATGACCTAACTGCAATGTGCAGTTAAATTTCGTTTTTACGGTCTTGAAACCATGCTAGCTGCAAATGGCAACACACCACAACATATAGTTTTATATTCATGGTTTTTTAACCAACCATACCAGTTGTAAATGGTTTAAAAATCATAAAAGAAAAGGAATGCTCCCAAACATAAAATAATTGGTTAATTGTGTAATTTTATGATTAATTAAAATGAAAATTCTAATGAAATTCTCCAATTCAGAAGTCAATTCTCATCTGAATATATGTTGCAGGCTCGTAAAAAACTCTCCCACCAATGTCTGTTTTAATGAATTTATGAAATTAAATATTATTAAGACGGATATATGAAATTATACAAGCACTATAGACTGTTTACACTGCGAAAAATATACTGAAGATATTCATCTTCAATAGACATGGTATATTAAATTAACGCAACCGATTTGTATCAAAATGATGTCCAAAAGGTGAAAAATATTCCAATCCATTTCTCAAGTTTTTAATGCTAGTTTTTTGTTTACATAACATCAATCAACACAAATAAATTTGCAACATACAAAAATACACTCGCTGAGAAATTCAAAATCAAATATTCAATATTCAAAAAATAGTTTTTAATAATTATTTATTTTTTTACATTTATTTAAAGTAAAAAATATTTTAAATTGCTGGATAGACATATTTCTTATCCTTTTAAACACCGCAAATTCGGAGAAAGTACGCGTTTTGTATCTGATTTCGTAACTTGCAATATCGACTGCACTAGTTAATTAGCATACTTGGTGTCAGTCTCTTGAACCATTATGTCTAAGTATAGGTAGTTAAAATCCGATCATTAGATCAAATATCATTTTCACTGCTTCATTGTTTTTTCTAACTACATTTGTATTGGTTACTGTAAATGAAAATAAAAAAGAAAGTAAACTTATAATTGAAAATTTTTGAAGTGTTTAGCTTACAATACCAAAACGTTTCGGGAAAAAATCAGCATGGCGTGGATATAAGAAAGGAATTTTTAATTCAATAGATGATAAATGCTTCGTTTTATAATTTATTTTACAAGCATTCCTTTAGTAGAAGATGATATGAATAGAACTTTAGGCATCAGCAAGTTGAAAAATTTCCAAAAGGCATAAGATATATTTTTTACCATCTATCTGAGATAAATATCTATATAAAATGACTTTGTTGATTTCTACTGTACGTTTTTTTTTACACTTTACGGTTAATAAAAAAAACTTTATTGCACTCTGTATGGTTTTTTACGTGCCTTATAAGTAACTAAAATTCAATTTTGACATTTAGGGGTCACAGGTGGTAAGTAAATAATGTATACGTATTCTCAACATTTGAATTCGCTCTAGAAATAAGTTATTTTACTATTGAAAATGCTACTTTTAAATGTTTTTTAAAAAGAATATAGAGAATATATATTGACATATATATTAGCATATACAGCGACTACTCTCCGCGTCACAGTAAAATGATTGTTGATGGAGGTTAATAATTCTTAGGGATTAAAGCCATTGACTTTAAAATTTGTTTTCGAAGGTACACGATATTTCGCGAATGATCTTCATTTTTGTCAGTGTCATTTTCATAGTGGGAAAATGCCACTTCTGTTGTCGTCAGGAAAAGGCGGATTAATGAATAAAATTTAGCGTCTATGAAAATGAGCCCAACTGATATCATTATGTGCAAAAACAAATTTACCAATTAGGAATGATAAAGCTGTTTTAAACAGAAGTTTTTATTTGATTTTATGACATGAAAATTAGTTAGCTTTAAAAGGTGAGAAGAGGTTTGTTTATTTGAGATGCTTTTTCCTTCTCAAAAAACTTTTTTTCTCAAACTTTGTCCAACTTTCAACTGTAAAAGTTAGTCATTGATAGTGTCGTCCTTAGCACACTCTGACTGTATTATGGAGTTGTCAATATTTTTCAGAGGTTGTCAAAAAAAAGGAGAAAAGATTTCTAAATAAGAGACGCTCATAAATATTTTCAATTCCTTTGAAACTATTTTTTTGTTTTGTTAATATTTTTTTAAATTTGATGTGATTTTTTCGTGTTTTTTTATTTGACCTTTTCCGAGTTTTGCCCTGTCGCTGGTAGAGGTTTTAATGGTTTCTCCTAAAGGCATTCTTTTTTTTCTTCAGTAAAAATTCCATGGAAACAATATTCCGTGCCTCCCAAAAGTGGTAGTATATATATATATAT